GATACAAGGCGTTCGGCGCACGGGCGAATTTACGTGCATACCTTTCATCGTCGGCGCGTCTACCAAGCTCATCAACCAGCTACAACCCGGATGGTGCGCAAGCACTGTAGTTGGGATAGAACATCCATTCCGAATGCGCTATGCAATTCTCTTCGTTGTCGACGTTTGTGCAGAGGCGAGCCTGACAAACCCTAAACGAGAATTGCAGTTACGACTTAGGACGTGTTCACATGTGGGCGAATCAGGGTTGATTCATGCGAATTGGACTCTGAATTGGACCTGATTGGACCCGAATCGGAATTGGGGTCCGGGGGGGCCTCTTCGGGTATGATTCGACGTGATTCACAGTTTTCTTTCTCAAAACAAAGTTATTTAACAAACCGTTTCTCATAATTACCATAACAATACTATAGACATGCCTGGAGGCTGAAAGGGCTTCCGGACGCATAAATCGCATCAGGCGCCGTCGTACGCCGGACCAACGATGCATCATAACATCAACTAGTTCCTGGAAAAGCGGCAGGAAAGGAGCATCCATACGCGCACGCAATTAGACCCCCGCCGTGAGATGCGTCGGTGGCTGTGAGGCAGGTGGGGACATGCCTGGAGGCTGAAAGGGCTTCCGGACGCATACATCGCACCAGGCGCCGTCGTACGCCGGACCAACGGTAAATCATAACATCAACTAGTTTCTGGAAAGGCGGCGGGGAAAGGAGCATCCATACGCGCACGCAATTAGACCCCCGCCGTGAGATGCGTCGGTGGCTGTGAGGCAGGTGGGGACATGCCTGGAGGCTGAAAGGGCTTCCGGACGCATACATCGCACCAGGCGCCGTCGTACGCCGGACCAACGGTAAATCATAACATCAACTAGTTTCTGGAAAGGCGGCGGGAAAGGAGCATCCATACGCGCACGCAATTAGACCCCCGCCGTGAGATGCGTCGGTGGCTGTGAGGCAGGTGGGGACATGCCTGGAGGCTGAAAAGGCTTCCGGACGCATAAATCGCACCAGGCGCCGTCGTACGCCGGACCAACGGTAAATCATAACATCAACTAGTTTCTGGAAAGGCGGCGGGGAAAGGAGCATCCATACGCGCATGCAATTAGACCCCCGCCGTGAGATGCGTCGGTGGCTGTGAGGCAGGCGAGGACATGCCTGGGAGGCTGAAACGACAATACACCGCTGAGTCCATTCAGTCGTGCCATTCAGTCGCTGCCTCCAATGCCCTCCCAGCCCTGACCGCCTTACGGGGGTAAAAGTTGTCCCCAGTGCTGATGATGAATTTGGGCGGCATGCACTGGGAGACGTCGGACATGAGCCGAGCAGCTTTTTGCTGGTTGTCGTTCCCAGACCTGCCCCAATCGCCGATGACGTAGAAGACCAGGTCTGTCTTGCTGGGGTCGTAGCTGCGTGGACAAACATAGTCTAGCTTCCGGCGGCTTAAGCCCCATGCGAGGCCGATAATGAGCGCCACTAGGCCGAGGGAGCCAATCGCGATTAGCACGCCGACAAAAACCTTTCGTTCCCTCAGCTGGTGCTCGTATGTATTTCGCGAGCGCCCAGCCTTCTCTACGCCGCTGATGAAGAAGCGCTCCTCCTCTTCTAGGTCAAATCCGGTGCGCAGAGCTTGCGACCCCATCTTCCAGGAGACAAGCACGCTTTAGTCCGGTTAGCGCATTCTTAAAGAAAGAATGTATTCGGATTGCTTTTGCCTTGGGACGGTTGGCAGCGCTGCCTCTACGGTGGAAACAGCAAACTTTGCTTTAAGGAGAAATATTCCAACATGCAGCTGGGCGCTCCAAGCCAACAAAACGGTAAGCAACCCCAGCTGCAGTTTGCTGGGGTATTGCTCGCTAGTAGATACCACAATGCATGGTTGGTGTCTTTCCTCGAGCGGTTAACTGTTTTGCACGAACGGCAACGAACCATTTCCTTTGTTGAACTATGTGGCGATGTGGCAAGGCAACTCACAAGCGCAAGAATGTTACCGTTTTGACTACACTATGTACGTATCGATGGAATAGTCATCGTCCGGGAGCCAGTCCAAGGGTGAAGGATAGATGCCCCGAGAGTTTTGGCTCTGCCCCTTTGGACGCTCACGTTTTGCATCCCCATAACTCTTACGTAAAAATGGCTTCCACACCCCCTCGTGGGGCCCAGATTTCCTGGGGGAGCCATGGCCTCCCCACCGAGCGGGAGGTCCTATGTGTCGCAATCAGCGCTTCGCAGCTTTCCTTGCACTATCTTATGACATTTTCTGCTTAGTGACAGCATTTTGAACGAGTGCGAAGGGCTGCACAGGCGCGTGGGTTTAA